GTACATCTCCATATCAACAGGTGTTCTTATGGGATGGAGAGAGGTAGTTCATCTCCATATCAATGGGTAATTACATGGGCAACTGAGTGCTTATCTGAACCTGAGAGGTTGGGGAGAGGCTACACTTGTTTCTCCTGGAGCAGGAGAGAGATGGCTCTTGGACCGCAGTTTGTAAGGAATAAATGGGTTTTAAACTTTATTTCTACCTTTGACTGAATTCAGTTTTTGAGGTATTTTGCCCTGGGATTTCCTCTCCCCAGGATTACAGGCCTGAACAGTGAAAATGCTATAACTTAAAAAACAAACATAGTTATTATGCAACACAATTTTTAATCTACTTTAATCAATGCCTATAACACCTTGAACCCAGCATCATCTCAACTGTTCTCCACCCCTCATAAATAAATAACTTAAATTGAGTGAATATAAATAGGACTTTCTCTTCTATAAACTTGTTAACAGCAGTATTTTTTTATTAACGTATCATTGATATACAATCTTATGAAAATTTCCCATGAACAACTTGTGGTTACTACATTCACCCATATTATCAAGTCCACCCCCCCGACACACACCCCATTGCAGTCACTGTTCATCAGTGTAGTAAGATGCTATAGAGAACACTACTTTGCCTTCTCTGTGCTATACTATAGCAGTATTCTTTATAGTTAATCTACAGATGAGAGTTTCTCTGGCCTATTGGGATAGGTCAAAAATTACAATTGCAGGTGCAGAATAAATAAGGGGTTACTTTAAAAAGAATTTGGCTTTATTTTTATATTCTGTGCTAAAAGGATTTGTCAATAAGTAGATAACTTGACCAATTCTATTTTTGCTTGTTACTTCTCTTTATGAGCAATCCCTGAAGTGCTGATGAGAACCAAATGGCCGGAGGGTTAGACGGGGAGGGAGGAGAAATAGCAAAAGAACATGTGGAAAAGCCAATTTAGAAACAAAACACTTCCAACTTTTCCTCCCTAGCTAGCATGAATTTATTTATAAGCATAACAACATAATTTCTGCACTCCAAAACAATGGTATAAATATAAACATGAGAATATTCCGATTTGTTTCCTACTCATCAGATACACTGAATGGAAGGCAACATGAATCTATACTCAGTTCACCAAGTTTGAACTTTCACAAAGTAATCTTACTCAACTAAGATATAGAAATGAATCTTAGATTTATTCAATCCTCTAAGAGCTTTTCACTGTAGGACAGGAAACTATTGTAGGGACCAAGGTATGCCACTGTGACAGGTAGATTACTTTGAGCTGAAAACCGTCAAGGCCCAAGAGACTCAGGAAGATACTTGGACGTCCCCGTCCCCCAGCCATGCACCTGCAACTGCATAAAAGGAATTTAGATGGAGGAACTGCTCCAGGAGGAGAGCTGTTCCCATAGAAACTACATTACAATGTAAACTAGGTGTAGTGGACAGGGAGCTATGCAGCTAAGGTTTTAAAATTCCTCTGTGTGCCCCCCACCATTGTTTCTATGTGGTCCATCAAACATTCGTTTATCAAACATTTACTCATTCATCAAACAATTCACATTCCTGTGACTGCCTTAACCTTTTCCTTCAGAGTCTCTGGCCCCTCTTCCCTTCTCCTTGGTTTAGAATGATACGCAGAACTCATTCTCCCTGACCATCCTTGGAACCCATGTCTGTGCTTCTCTGTGTGTATGTAATGAAAGTTTGTGTTTTTGTTTGTTTGTTTGTTTTCTCCTGTTAATCAGTCTCATGTCAATTCGATTCTTAGACAGAAGAACCTCCAGGGGTTGGGGAAATTTCTTCTTCCGCTGTGGCAGTAAAGTTCCCTTTGATAAAGGTGAAAGTTCCCTTTCAAATGTTAGTATTGCTCCTTCCCAAAGAAGACCTACTATTATAAAACTGATGTGCATATTTCTTTTTTACTTTTTTTCCCAAAGTTTTTATAAGTATATGCATCCAGGAGGAATATATATTAATGTTGTGTATTTCCATTTAGAAATTATATAAAAACTATCATACCCTATCATTATGTTAATTAGTCTTCACACTCAATATTTGAGATCTATATTTATATAACAGATATAAATATATAAAAATAAATATATATATGCCTTTAATTATAAAAACAGCTCCTAAATATAGATCTTTAGCTATGAAACTGAATCTTAGAAAAGCTAACAGACATGTTCAGAGTTATGGAATTAGTAAGTATTAAAGATTCAAATCCAGATTTATTTGGCACCTGAGCAACTTTTCCCAACCATGTTGTCGCCCAAACACAGCAAAAGTTATGTTTTATGTGAATGTAAAAATTGCCATAAGTTGTCTAGTTTCTAGGTTCTAAAATTCATTCTTCCTCTGGTACTTTACACCTTGAACAATTTAATTCACCTAATTTGGAGTGGTAGTAAGGACTGTGACTGTTATCAAAGGAAGTGTTAATAACCTACTAACATGGAAATACTGCTCACTATAAGGAGGTGGGAAAGAATAGAGGCAGTGGAAGACTTCATCTGCTGCTTCTCTTCCTCTGTGTATCTAAAAGTTATTTGTGGCAGATGTCTGGTAGAATCCAGCAGGCTGGGAAGTGCCACAGAGCATCCAGATTTTGGAAACATAACGAGGTATATTTGTTACATTTGTATAAGGATAACACAGTCTCTCTCACAGCATCACAGAGACCATCAATCTTAGCACCTGGTTAACATGACTAGTTAACTAAAGTACAAAGTTACCAGAAGTAACTTGTAACACCTCTTTGTAAACCACATTAAAAACTACAGGAAAATGAGGGCCCAGTATTCTTTTTATTCTGGGAGCTATGCTGCGCAAGATCTTGAGAGTATCACTCACTCAGGTATTTCAAACTGTGTGTTTGCCTCTTAGCATTAACATCAAGACAACAGAGTTAAATCCTCACATTTGCATAAAATTTAGCTCATTTCAGAGGCTCACTTGGTTACTTAAATACATTCCTCTGTTAGATTTCTATGGATTCTATTCTATGTTTATTCTTCACTGAACTCACCTACACTTTTTAATACCACAGACTAAGTCATTTCAAATTTTGGTCTATTAGATCCAATAAACCTTCTACTATTACTAACAGGTTCTATTATTAAAGGTCAGATGTTCTATTCCTAAGTTTTCCTCAGGAGAACTTTATAAAATAGACATTTTGTCTTGATTTTACAGATGAGGAATGCAAGCGCTACCAAGCTAACAGTCATTTACTCAAGGTCACTGAGTTAAATTCACTTAATGGAAACTAAAATGATTTAGGTCCCTGTGCCCCTTAAGGAAAAGGACAATGCCAAATTTTTATCAACAGGCCTATTACAAAAATCTGATACTCAATAAAACTTTGAGTACTGAATAAAAATGAATGTCTGACTCACAAGCCATACTCATTAATGCTGATTTAAAGTATAATTTATAATGAGGTTCTGGGGTATTTCTGGTAAAATAGTGTATCTTGCACAAATTTAAATTAAAAACGTTCATTATGAATCTATTTTAAGTTAATTTTCAAATATAGCTATCACTAACAGGGAGTGAACCTCTAATATTTGTTACTGAATGTTGAGTCATCATTCATATACTGTTAAAAATATTATTTGGTGCACAACTCCTGAGGGGCCTACTACAAAATGTAAAAAGTAACACGAATTCTTTGTCATATAAAGTTTCTTTAATATTAGCTGTTAGGGCTTTTCTTTGAGTTACAGAATTGGGTATTCAGTATTAAAGAAGATAAGGTTTCCCCATTATAGAAACAAGCATATAAATTAAGGTTTTGGTGTAACCTGTGACTACCACATTACAATGTAAAGATTTTATTTGCTCATACTATTTCCATCATACTCACTTTTCCTTATTAAATACTCTGAACAGCTCCAGATAAGCACCAACTGAATTGCTTTGGTCCAAATTAAGTACTTTGTATGGGTCCTAATCTTGTAAAGCCCCTTGTTTCTTTTGTTCTATCATTCTCCACACAGAAGCATTAGCAATTCAATTTGCCTTTAATTTCTAAGATACCTTGAATTTCCCCTGTGCATCAAATCTTAGAACAAACAGTCCAAAGAGTTGTTAATAGTATCATTTTATATCAGAGGCTTATTCTACTACACGAAGAGAATTACTTATTGCAAATCTTAGTGATGTTACACCTTTACTGAATCATCACTACTAAAAATGAGTTACGTATATGTCCACATTTCTAAAACAAACAAAAAAAATTGCTGAAAAGCTTCAGCATGTATTGATTTTTTTACCTCCAGATCTAAAAATAAACTATTTGATTCAGAGCAAAATTATGATTTTCTTTTGTATATTCCATCATTGGCACATTTAATGTAATATCAAAATCTAGGTTCATACTAAGATTTTTTGAAGGTATTTTGAGATGACAAATAGGCAATATGGTAATTCTTGCCTCTCAAAGAAATATAGGAAAATATGAAGAGTGATTAGAGCTTGGAAATAATATTATTCCAGATAAAACATGGATTTTTATCTGATGATTTACAACATGTGGCAAAGGTAGAATAACAAACTAAATCAACACACTGCAGAGTGAAGAAAAACTGCTAAAAACTAAATACTAAATACTGAAATGCAAATAATTTAACTATTAATAATGATAAAGTAATGATCAGAGGGAGCCTGAGTCCATTATATTTCTATGGTAGCAACATTATCAGATATTCACCAGTGAAAATACATTTATTAATTACATTTTACTAAGCAACTTCAATACTTACTACACTTTAAAACTTCTCTTATCTAAAGGATTTAATCTTCTTAACAGAAAAAGATCTTTACCCCACATAGACCCAATGGATTCAATGAGATTGATAAATTCCTGATTTCATTTATAATACTAATCTGCAGTATTTTCTTTTAGGCTTCATATCAGAGATACATTGCACAAGTGCAGGTTTGTCATATTAAAAACTGCAATGATTAATTATTTAAAAAACAAACAGGAAAACCTTACCAACTGGTTCTTTTTGATTTTGAAAGAGAATCTTGCTATTACTGCCATCCATGTTTGCCATGTTAATTGTGTTTCCATCTGTCCAGTAGAGTTTCCTTAATTCAAAAGAGATACAGATTAAAAATATTAGTTGCATACCTACTTGCTGACTATAAACATACATTGAAGAACAAAATTAATATCAAGGTAAATTCTTGGCTCAGGATTAATTCTTTTCAGGAAAGCCCCAGATGGTTGAGCACCTTGCTGACAATGACCTACACATTTGGGAAAAAAGCACAACTCACTGTTTCTTGTCATTGAAGGATAATTTTTCTCACTTCCTTTTTCCTCCCACATTGCCAAATGAATATTTAACTATGACTACAGTAAATTATTTCCGGTTAATGTAATTCATCAAGACTGAATCCTCTTGGCTTAGAGAATTCCGACACTATAGAAAGTCATTTCAACCATTCCCATTGAAAGCACTAGAGAAAAATAATTTATTTTAGCCCTACACAGTCTCTCTACATGAGATGTGATGACTAACCAGATTATGAGACAGCCTGATCTACTTTGCAGTGACCATAATACCAATATGCAGTAAATATGTTATTAATAATTGGTGTTTCAATTGAAATGAATGATTTGTCCCTGCATCTCTCTTTTATTCTGACTTGGCACTCCTTAGAAACATAATTTAATGAAATTTTACAATAATATATACACATCTGATTTTATGCAGATAGCAGCAACCTCTAACCAGGATCTCTTTAAATTTCCATATTTGCATTTGCTTTTTTGACTTCATAGCTGATGTATGTGTGAACTTTGAACTAAATGAATCAGAGCAAAGGTGTGTGAAATTTTTGAAATACTTAAAAAAAAAATAATCATACTTTACCCCCTGACTGGGTGAGCTGCAAGACACTGTGGCTTATCAATTCCATGGATAATTGAGGTCTTCAAAGAGCCATCTAGGCGTGCCACATTAATTTGTGTTTCATCAAATTCAGAGCTAATCCAGTATAAATTACGGGAGACCCAATCCACAGCTAGCCCTCTGATACTCTGAATATCTGTAAAACAGGAAATAGAAAATTACAAGTAAATGAGGTTTCTTATTCTTTTGGCTTTCCAAGTAATTTTCTATCTCAGGGAAAATTTAATTTACACTTTAATTTGTTAGCTAAAATTGTGCAAGATTGTAATCTCATTCCCTTATCAGTTCTTCTTAAAGCATGAATAATCATTAACGTCTTACTGCTGAGCCATTTGAAAACCTGAAGCAATAATTAGCATTGAAATTACACTAGCAGTCAATGATTCACTAGTAAACACTTAGGAGCAGACATAGGCAGCAGTCTTAGGGGCCAAGGTGACCAAAATTCAAATTACTGTAATAGCTTCTCCAGTTGGTAGCACATCTTTCTAGTTAGGAGAAAGTACTTGTGGGCTATCAACAAATGGGCTATTTTATGTTTTAAGTGCCAATTTGTTACTGAAATGAAATAAAGCAATTCAACTTTCCTAAAAGAATCACCAGAGTTGAACATCTTTCAAAACAGATAATTAACAGAATTGACTGAGAGATAAGCAAAGAAACTAAAATCCTTTTAACATTCCTCCAACGTGGATTTTACAGAAATTACTGAAATCTAATTAAGCTTCAATTCATTACAGCCAATATGAATATTTGGGTTGCTATATTCCTTGATTATTCTATTAGACATCTTAAAAAAATAATTTAGGCTTAAAAACAATTATGCATTGTAATTAAACAGATAAATTAAAATTTTTAAAAATGAGGAACAGTAGAAAATCTTTTTAACACACTAACATCTAAAGCAGGCTAGTTTAGTCCCCAATCTGTGGGTGTTAAAGAGAAACAACACACCCAATGTTGGGTCACTTCTCTTTAGCCAAGTCACCCAACCAGGGCCTAACACTTAAACCCCATTCCATTTTCAACCTCCCTGCAAAATGTAGTCAGTCTGGAATTTTTGAGTCAGCATCGCAGATGAGCTAATCTGTCACATGAGCTTCTTCATCTTGATGAGGTCATCTGCATTATAAGAGCCCTGAACAGGGGGGTGTCTTTGCCTGAAACAGACCATTCTTTTCTTTTGCTAATATATTTCCCCCCACCCTCCTGTCCATAAAACCTTCCATTTTGTACAATGACTTGGAGCCTCTCTCTGTTTGCTGTAAGGATGCTGCTGGCTTCATGGATTGTTTAATAGAGCCAATTAGGTCCTCCTATTTCCTTGGATGAATTTTATTTTTTAACAGAGACCTTTGACTACTCTAGTTTGGTTTTGCCTTTATTTTACAAAGTTTTACTATTTCCTAACATACTGTGCCTCTGGAGTTCTCAAGACCAGTGTTGCTCAAACTTACAAACCACGTGTTAAAATGAAAGTTCTGATTCTAGGTCTGCGAGGGGTCTATGATTCGCTTCTGAAAGTCCTAACTAGCTCCCAGATACAGCTACCACTGCTCCAGAGCAGTGATTCCAAGCCATATGCCTTCAGAGCCCCAGAACAGCTGCTACTTAGCTCATTGAATTGCTGTATCTTCCCTTTTTATTTCCAAAACATGCCACAAAACTAAATTTTCCTGTGAAAGCAAAGCTCCAGATTTGTAAAATTTGCCAGCCAGTTCAAAATGTAAGAAGAACAAAGTAAGACAGAGAGGCCTGGCAGTTCTGGGCCAGTTGTGAAGTGATGTGTTGGCATGGTAAGCTCCACCACACATTTACCTCCTTGCATTTTGACAAAGCCTACTTTTCTGCTCAAAAATTATTTCATTATTTATAAATAACTTTTAACCACAGTGCTCTTAGAAGATATTTCCCAATGTTTCAGTTTCTCCTCTAATCAAGAACCTCACATTCTGCAAGTTACCTTGCATCATTAATTTACTGGTAAGTGGGTGAATTTTGAATGTGAACTTCATTTCTCAACCCAAACGTTGCTATTTCTTTTTATTTTTAGTTATCGTCGCCTCGTTTCCTCTTTCTGTGAAAAAAAAAAAGTAAAAGAACATATCTTTAAAGCCAAACCTGCCTTGTCTGATACCTATTCATCTGCGTCATCTAGGACATTTATTCCTCCTCCTTCACCCTCTGGATTTAATTGGTGGCTGAGAGATAATATTGCTGTAAAGAGAAGATTTGGCTTCATGACACTCAAGGCTAGATGTCTCTCTTTTGTCTTTCATCAACTCACTTAAAGTTCAGCCTCTTATCTAGAAAATGAGGCTAATTACTGAGAATACATAGGGTTGCAGTGAATATTATATTAGATGATGTGTGTATATGCAACTTAATGCAAGATTGAGGGATACTTTGACAATCTAAGAACTTAATATCTTTTGTAATTTTATACTGGATTGCATGGTACTGGCACAATAAAGTGTTTTTCTTTCCACTATGTTATCTAATGTGGTTTTCTCTTTTGGCTGTCTTTGCTGCTCAAAATCCTTTTATTCATTTTTGATGACCTAGAGAATGCACTGCACTCTTAAATTTGAAAGCATAGCTAAAGGTAAGCTATTAATACCTATTTAGTCCTTGTCGATTCTGTGGTTCATGCTCTCTCAAATCTATTTCTACATGTAATAATGCAACAGCATCTAGTCTTTTTCCTCTTCCAAGCAATTGATTTAGTTGCTTGTCAGGTTATTTTTTTGACTAGAGAGCTCTGGATCATGACCTTTGTTTGCCCCAAGGTAGTCAGTAGCTTCTAACCACTAAGAACATGATGTTTAAATTTCTTAGCCTGGTATTTTATATAATCTGAATATAACTACCTTCCCAATTTTATTTCTTGCTGTTTTTGACCAATTACCTTATATTTCAGTCATATTGAAGTATTTTCAGATTTCCAGATTTGTCTTGCCCTTTCCAGCCTATGGAGAATCATCAGGAACTCATACTCTATCATGTTTCTACTTAACCTAAATCTTGAGCAAAATAGGCCAGCTGTTAGGCAATATCACTCTTCAACCACAAAAACTGAATCAATTCTCCTATATATTCCAGCCAGAAAGTTTTTAATCTATCTACCTAAGTCAACAATACTGTATCTGGTCAATCAACTTCTACCTAATGTGATAATTATTTGCTGACATATTGCTACTCTCACACATACTTCTTGAGATCAGGTCCCTAATTTTTCTTTATAGCTCCCCTCCCCAAATGTATATGGCATTGCTTTCAACATAAATATTTTTAATGAATTGATTAATAAATTCATGACATGCCCGATCTATAATCTTAAGGATGGATGAGCTGAGCTAGAAATATCAGATCATGGTCCTCAAGTTTATTTTCAGGACTACATAACCAAACACATACTCAAGTGATTTTGATTCTCATTTTCTGTCCTTACCTTTTTTCTTCCCATTAGATTAGTTTCTAATTATCAGCTTTATGTCTAAAATAAAACATTTTTTTTCAGCATTATAATACCAAGTCTGGTTTCTCTAGAGTGCCCAAAGGGTGCAGAGGGATAAAAAATGCCATATGTTTAGTAATATTTTTCTTCCCTTGACAAAAATATTGATACAATAAATTCCAACTCTTAACTCTTATTTTTAAATTAGATGAAGTTCTCTGAGCAACATTCCCAGAAAGTACAATTTTCTATTTCCAGGGATTCTTATTTCTTGAACTAAAGCAGATTAGATATTCAGAAAAGCCCCTCATAGCCACAAAATACTCTGATGAATGATAAATTATAACTTATAAATGCATTGTTGAGAGAACAAGACAAGAAAATTTCTAAGTGTGAGCACATGCTTTTATGTTAGCTAAAAGCATCAAGGAAGGTAAATGAAAGTAAGAAACTGGTACAGCCATACTGAACAAACAAAATTGTAGTGAGAATCTATAGATCCATGAATTAATACTTGTTTAGTGCAAGAGCACTCAGTCTTTAAAACTTACAAAGAATAGGAGAGCTAAACAAGAACAATCTACAGTTCATCCTCAGTAAAAGGTGAATGGGAACTAAATCTTCCTTCTTAAAAAAAAGAATAATGTAAACATAAAAAAGTATGCTTCCTCTGGGTACAAAAGAAAAAAAAATCATAGATTTATATTCCAGCAAGAAATTACTAGTATATAAACAAATTATCCTCTAGTTGGGTAGGGGAGAAATCAAATTAAAGAGATTTCTGTGACTCTGTTTCCCTCTAGAAGAAGCAAATTCAAATCCTCTATGGAAGAAAAAAATTCCTCCACACAGGCCCTTACAGTCTCCATACACTGAGTTCATTTAATACAAATCAAAACACACACAAAGAAATGACATAAGTACAAGAGTAAAGAGAAAAATAAGCAAGTTTAAATCTCCAAAGTCTACATTTTTTTACATTGTTAAATGTATGATAAAAAAAATTGGAATATTTTAAAAGAAACATGTACTTTGAAATAAGCAAGGTAGAATAATTTATTTTTTAAAAACCTCTTAGGAGATATAAATGAGAACCAAAAACAACTTGTGAATAATTCATTAAAGGGATTAACGAGCAGTTTTAGCCACAGTTTAAGTAGTGAACAGCAAGACAGATTGAAGCAAGTTAGCTAAAACCATCCCAGCGAAACAAAAGATTGGGTTGGAAGTTCAGAACAAACAGTCTATCATGTCTAGTCAGAGTTTCCAAAGGAGTGAATAGAGAGAGTAGGTTAGAAAAAAATGATCAGAGATCATATTTGATGGTTTTTCTTCACTGGGCTAATGAAAGACATGAACTGTAGGAGGCTGAACAGACACAAGGTGGCTAAATAAACATACTGTCATGAAGACAAAGAAAATATGTGAAAAGCAGCTAGACAGAGAAGATGCATCAATAAAATGAGAATGCTGATTACATAAACATGACAATTATCAATAGCAATAAGGGATGCAAANTCTGTGGGTGTTAAAGAGAAACAACACACCCAATGTTGGGTCACTTCTCTTTAGCCAAGTCACCCAACCAGGGCCTAACACTTAAACCCCATTCCATTTTCAACCTCCCCGCAAAATGTAGTCAGTCTGGAATTTTTGAGTCAGCATCGCAGATGAGCTAA